TCTCAACACTCTATGGGAGGTGGAGCATTTCTACAGCCCATTGCCACCCAAACAGGACCAGTGTGACGTTGGAGAATTTCAGTTTTTCCAAAAAGTCTCTTCAAATGTTTACAATTATATTAAAGTTGAAAAGAATCAGAAATCAGATACTGGCAAAGAATAACCATCACTCTATTCTTACACTATTGTTTATGATGATCATTGACTCTCCAGATCCCTGTAAGTGGTTTGGACAAACCACAAAGCCGTAGTGGTTTTGTGGTGTTTGGGCACTCTACATAGGAAACCTAGCTTGGATTCCCATTGCTGGTGTTTTCAGGCTGAGGATATGTCTGTCAATGGCGAGAGGCTCGTGGGTAGTTCAGTAGCAATTTATTGGACTGTTGGCTGATAAGAAGGCCGATCAATGCAATTTATTCTGCAGCATAAAAATGCAGGCCCATTTTCATGGATAGCAATGCTAAAGCTAAATGCCTTTCCCTGGAGGAGGACAAACAAAAGGAAATCTGTACCAAGTATCTAGTGATCTAAGAAGAGATCAAAGAACGACAGTGTTACAGTTGCAAATGATGAAATGCACACTTGTGCATATTGCGCAGTAATAGAGCAGGCATTCACTTAAGGGGAGGGTTTTTGCAGCATACAGCATTGAAAACACATGTCTAATAGGTGCATTCATTTTAATATGCTCATTCATTGAGCAGGCCTGATTAATTAGTGCGTGTCACCATCTGGTACTTACTGAGACTATTCATTTTTAAAATGTTGAAATTGTAGGGAATGTTGCACACCAATTAAGTTCCTTTTAATTGGATTATGTTAGTATAAAGTATTACTGGAGAAGGCCTTCATTGTGATTCAGCCAGCACGCATCTGAAGGAGACCCGCCAGCCTGAAATTACTTAGAACAAAGGGAAAATGCCTGAAATGCATGTTTATTACTATCCTCGTGCACTCCACAAAGATGATGTCAACAGATAAGAGCCACAAAAATACTTTTGCATTTCTGTGCAAGGTTCAGTTTCCTGACATGAGGATATCTCAGCTGATTACTTCTTCGTCTTGCACTGCAACTCTGAACCCATCATCTTCTCCCTCTGACCTGGAAAGTAAAATACGCTTTTGCATTTCTGTTTGGTTGAGATCAACTTAACAGGACCAGACTGAGTCCTCCTGTGTGCAGTCGTGTATCTGCTGAAATGAGGAGCATTAATGCCATTTACACAGAGTGATTTGGCCTTTAAAGCTGATAAACTATCTGTGCTGACTCAACCGTTTAGTGAATGAAGTATCACGATCTGTTAGCTGCAGCACCACAGTAGGAGCAGAACTTGTCTGTCTATACTTGTTCCTGTCACTGACTCACTTGGTGAATTTTAGTTACTTAACGTCACTGCACTGCAGTGTTTCCGTGTGTAAGCTGTGAATAGTTATGTTTATCAGGTTACGTAAAAGGCTTTGAGATACAGGGATGAAACACACCATGTCGGCATTAAGCATTTACTGTTAATACTTTCTTTAGAAGCCTAATGCTGCTTTGTATTTAACATCTGAGGTTGTTATTGCCTTGATTTTGTGGAGATTGAGTATCTCCAAGTAAGTTCTGTATCCAAACTACTGATTTCAGAAGACCCAGGAGCTTGGCAGAGGACGCATTCCCTCCCGTTCCTTAGCAGTTCTGTGGGCTGTCAGGGAAGCAGGGAAGTTATGGAAGAAAAGATCCCTACCTAATCGCTAGCAGCTTAAGAGATCGGGGGTGGGACTGCCTGGATCTCTTGTTGACCTTCTTTGTTTTGGAGAATAGGGTAAGAATCTAGAAATGAACAGGATATTTTTTTCTTGTTGTATTTGTGTGCTTTTTCATTACCTTCAACGGACTCTGCTGCCCCCTACCAAGTTGCAGCTGCTCTTGACAGCAATGGAAGAAATAGCCTGAACATGTGAAGAGTGTTCTGCATTTTTTAATACTGAAAGATTTAATTTCTGTTATCAGTCGTAATCACTCTCACTATAATTACCACTCATAATAGGGAATCTGTAGTTGAACCAGTAAATGTATTTTCTTTAAAGGGAGAGGAAAACATCAGAAAAAGCACTTCTAGTTGTACAGCACTGAAGAAACTGCCTGAATTTTTTTTTAGAATGCAAATACTTGTTTAGACATACAAAGGACAATATGAGTTTAATTTGTAATAGCAGAGGAGTGCTTCTGATTTCAAAGCCTGAAACTAGCACAAGGTTGGAATTCTTTTGGTTGTCGTCTTAAGATACATTTCCTCTTGTTTGAAGGTGCATATTTCCTCTTTGTTACAGCTGCAGGCAGTGTCAAAGCATGCTACAGGAACTGCTCGTCCTGCCTGTGCCAAAGCCAACTGGAAACCCAGCTGTGGTTTATACACCTGAGAAGTCAGTGGCTCATCTGTTTCGCAGACTGTGTCAAAAATCACGTTAGGGAGCGTGGTTGTGTTTAAACCATTTCCATTAGGTGCTGAAGAGCAAAAGCTCTAAAATACCTATACGTATCCTATGTGTTTTCTGTGTACAGGTTACATGTCTGCATTTACACAGACATGGCAACATGTATTTTATTTTTAAGCTAAATTGCTGCAGGTGGTACTCCTGGGACACGGGATGTATGTTTGCACAGAGCTGTGACCATGCTGTGGTTTCACTCTGACTGGAGCATTGTGTGTGGTTCTGCTCAGTTTCCTGTAGTTTGTATTCGTATGCTGAGTACAGCACTCCTTTGGATTAGAGGAAAACTGATGTCAGTGTGTCTGAGCAAATGAGAGTGAGTACAGCCAGTGGTAAAACATCAGACTGTAGTCGTACGAAGGCGTGCAATAGAGTGCTTTCTCATTTCTACCCCAGCATTATTAGCAGAAAATGCTTAGCCTGGAAGGCCATAAAGCTGTCTGGTTTGTGATAGGATTCTAGAGCAAGTGCAGTTTACACAATTTCAGAGAAATAATATCACCCAGTTAAATCGTGAAAACCATACACATATGCACTAATCCTTTTGTTTAAATTGTTTTTTCAGAGGTTTTATGTAATGGAGAAATACATTTTCCAAGGAAACATTTAGTTTAGATTCCCATTAGTGTAACTTTACTCCTTTTATTTGTTAAATACTTGAGAAGGAGCTTACCAAAGTATAAAATTCTAGTATGCACATGCTCTCTCTCTCTCTCTCTGCTTTTAGGAGAATTATTTCTTAATCTAATTTTTCTGCTTGCAATACATGGGCTTGCGAAATGTTGAGGCAAAAAATCCTGGCAGAGATCAAAAAATACATAGGCATTTTACTCTGTATACGTAAAACAAAGGCTGAAAGTTTGGGCAGATCTCTGTCTGGCAGACTTTCTATCTCTTAGGTCATACAGAGAAAGCTTTTGGCACTGACTTTTTGGCAAAAAGCTTTGTCTGGAAACATATTTAGTCAGTGTATGAAATATGATAGCCCTGGTACCCTGAACGTGCCTGAAGATACTCTAATAGAGTTAGACTTCAGCCCCATCTGGTGTTGGAACAGGATTGCTTGCTATATTAGCGTTTTCCAGCATAGGACAGCCCGTTGCCAAAACACAGGGCTGTACGTGAGGAGACTGACAAATTCACACGAGTGTGAGTTTTACTAATGGTTTCTATTGTTTGCTATGCTGATGAAAACCAGTTGTGCCTGTAGTGAATTCCAGCATAGCTGTCCTGCCACGGAGTTACTAACCACAGGCTCTGTAGAGAGCTGAGTCTTTAACTGAATGTGTTTATTGATACCCTTTCAGTGTACCTATGTGATCAGCAAGTATATTTTCACTCAAAGCCTGTAAGAATATAAAATTACTGATTTTTCAATGCCTGTGTTTACAGAAGTAGCGGTGGACATACAGATTCTTTCACCTCAGGAAATGTCTCCCAATAATTGTGAGTTACGCAACAGTGACAGAGACCAGAGTTGTGGATTTGGCTTAGAAGGCTTAAAATCTTCAGGCATTAATTCATGAAACTCAAATCCTGGATACTCCAATGATTATGGAGCACAGCAGATTCGTGTTTGTTTTTTACTTAAGACTGATCGTTTCAGGAAATAAAAAGGTTCACTTTGAAAGAGATTTTTGATTCTTTTTCAGTTGTTATTCCTGGAGGGGTTAGGTAGAAAAGCTATGTGTGAAATAAATCTGGGACTAAAAATCCATGGCTTTGTTTTGAGACTATAAGAATGGCTTATTGCCACTATTATAAGCTAAAGCAGAAGAAACAGTGACTTTCTAGAAAGGTTTCCACAGCATTTTTATCTGACTTTTCCAGTCTGGTCGTTCAACCAAAATACCTGTCCAACTATAATTTGACTCTGCTGGAAAAAAGTGCTAAAATGGCAGAGTTTGAAATTGCTTGAACCTGTTGTGTCCGTTAAGCTGAGCTCATTCACATTCAAAGCTAAAACAAACGCTCTCAATTGCATTTTGGAGAGTAAACATACTCTTACTTTCCTGTCTCATGTTTAAGTTATGTTGAAAGCAACGCGCACTAATCTTCCTTTTATATCCTCTTCCTAGCATTTGTTTTATTGAGCAGAAGTAAAGATCAGTGGTCCTAAACTAGTCAAGAGAATTATTCTAAATTCTCAGTCATTGCTGCTTCTCTTTCTCTGCTTTCAGTAATACAGAGCTTAGCTGCCAAAGTTTTAATTCTTTATGTATGAGAAGAATTATATTTGCAAGTTTTTTGGTGTTTCTGTTACATAGTTTTGTAAACTCAGGTAAAAAGAGCTAAGACATCAGCAAAATGCTACTGGCTTATTCCAAGTTCTTCATAGTGTAGAAAACGTTAGGTATAATGATCAACCTTTTTTTTTTACCTGTTCTTATGCTGATTCTTTTTCGTGTTTCAGAATGCTCACTGCTGAGAACAGCAGCCATACTAAGTGAACAGAGTGGAAACATACAGATGAAGTTGTTACCATGCACTGAACAGCACGGCATCAAGCACAAAGCTCTGGGAAAATGTCTGCTTGCAACACTTTCACTGAACACGTCTGGAAACCTGGTGAATGTAAGAACTGCTTCAAGCCCAAAAGCTTGCATCAGTTACCCCCAGTATCTGAAAAAAAACCCCTCTCACACGGAAATCTGAAATCCAATGCAAACCAAAGTAACAGCCATCGTGGGAGAAACACAGGAAATTTCCGACCCCCTGTGGCAAAGAAACCCACTATAGCTGTGAAACCCACCATGATGGTAGTAGATGGGCAGGGCGTATGTGGCGAAATCAGCACACCAGATCATTGTGAGAATAAATCGGTGCCTGCAGGCTGGAACCGAAACAAAGCTGTCTTGAACAAAAAACCACTGAACAATAATAATGAAGATGAAATTGAAGGTTATAGCCATGTTCATAGGCCTTATGGCAACAATGATGGTGTAGGCAAAATACCAAATAACAATAATAATGGACTGACAGAAGTTTTGAAGGAGATTGCGGGTTTGGATACCACACCTCAGCTAACTGGAAATGAAATGAACTCAAGAGAAACCTTCTTGGGAAGAATAAATAGTTGTTATAAAAGATCATTAGAAAGAAAGATCCCTCCAAGCTGCATGATGGGTGGAATGAAGGATTCACACAGTAAGCACGTTATTCTGAGTGGAAGCACTGAAGTAATAAGTAATGAAGGTGGACGTTTCTGTTATCCAGAGTTCTCTAGTGGAGACGAGAGTGAGGATGACACGTTTTTTGGCAGCATGCAAGAAGAGCATGAGAGCTGGGATGAAAGTGATGAAGAGTTGCTAGCAATGGAAATTCGTATGAGGGGCCAACCTCGCTTTGCTAATTTTAGAGCTAACACCCTATCTCCTGTTCAGTTCTGTGTTGACAAAAAATGGAATACTGTGCCCCTTAGGAACAAGTCACTCCAGCGGATCTGTGCAGTAGATTATGATGACAGTTACGATGAAATTTTAAATGGTTATGGGGAAGAGACTGTGATTCTTTATGGGCAAGAGAGCATGCAGAGCATGGTATCTTCCGATTCTACATCTCCTGATTCTTCTTTGACAGAAGAGTCTCGTTCTGGAACAACCAGCAGTTCTTCACAGAAGCTTTGTAATGGAGGGTTATCTCCTAGTACTCCTCAGGACCTCAAATTGATTGAACCAGAATATGAAAGTCTTTGTGATAATCAACAAGTGAAGGATGTGTCAAAAACTCCCAGAAGTGTTCCGAAAAGTTCAGAAACTCACAAGGCAGTCCTTGCACTTCGACTGGAAGAGAAGGATGGCAAAATTGCTGTGCAGACTGATAAGCAAGAGACTAAAAGTTCTTCAGATGTTGCTGGTCAAGCCGTAACTATAAATTTGGTGCCTGTGGAAGAGCAAGCTAAACCTTACAGGGTGGTGAATATGGAACAACCAGTTTGCAAGCCATATACCGTGGTAGATGTATCAGCTGCCATGACCAATGAATGTAAAGAGAATCAGACAGAAACCTCAGAAACCAAAAATACATCGTCTAACCCAAGCTCACCAGTAACTCCAGGCACACCTATTGCATCCTCCGCAGCATCACCTGTACGAGTGAATGCTAATCTGAAAAAGTCCAGCGCAATCAGATATCAAGAAGTGTGGACTTCTAGTACTAGTCCACGACAGAAGATACCTAAGGTGGAGTTAATTGCTAACAGCTCAGGACCTTCTGTTCCTCCTAGGAAGACAAGCCACAAATCGGCTCCTACTTCACCTACAGCTACAAACATTTCTTCAAAAACGATCCCAGTTAAGTCTCCCAATTTATCTGAGATAAAATTCAACAGCTACAATAATGCTGGCATGCCACCTTTTCCTATTATCATTCATGATGAGCCCACCTATGCTAAGAGTTCCAAAAATGCTGTTAAAGTCCCTATTGTAATCAATCCAAATGCATATGATAACCTGGCTATCTATAAAAGTTTTCTAGGGACCAGCGGAGAGCTGTCTATCAAAGATAAAACTACTAGCGTAATAAGCCACACCTATGAAGAAATAGAAACAGAAAGCAAAATGACTGAAGCCGTAGGAAGTAAACCCGCTGAGTTTTCCCAAGCGAAGGGGGTGACTAATAGCTCTGAATGTAGGCTGGGTTCTGTGGCTCAAAAGGTCCAAGAGTTTAATAGCTGTCTCAGTAAAAGTCCGATATCACCACAGAGAAGTCATAGTTCTGACCACAGCTCCCCATCAAGAGCTCAAAAGACAACACACGAGCCTGCAGCAAAAACAGATGTAACACCAGAGGCTTCTGTTGGCAGCAGCAGTGGTAGAGAGAACGCGAGCACGGTGCTATCACAGATTGTGGCTTCTATCCAGCCTCCGCAGTCTCCTCCAGGAACGCCTCAGTCTGGACCCAAGTCTTGTAGTGTAGAAGAACTGTATTCCTTACCCCCTGATGCAGATGCTACTAAAACCACCCTGGTACGACCCAAATCTCTGTTTACATCACAATCTGAAATAGAGTCATCCAAGACGGTAGAAAACACTGCCATGAAAATGCAGAAAGATTCACTTTCACAGCCAGTTGCCACTCACTCTCCAAAGCCAGTGAGAGCCACCCCAAATACCACAAGTCCCAAAACAGAGCAGGCACCGCCATTTCCTCCTCCACGGTCCACTTCTTCACCCTATCATGCGAGTAACTTGTTGCAAAAACATTTCAGCAATTGGACCAAGCCAAACAGTCCCACCAGGTCGACAGAGGCTGAGTCGATCCTTCATTCAGAAGGCCGGCGAGCTGCTGATGCAAAACCCAAACGCTGGATATCATTTAAGAGCTTCTTCCGCCGCAGGAAAACGGACGATGAGGAAGATAAAGAGAAAGAAAGAGAGAAAGGAAAATTGGTGGGTCTTGATGGAACTGTTATACATATGCTCCCCCCTCCTCCAGTTCAACGTCATCACTGGTTCAGTGAGGCAAAGTCAGACTCCAGCGAGAAGCCGTCGATCGTTTTCATGTATAGATGTGAACCGGCACAAGCTGAACCAACGGCTGATCATCAAAACAAGAGTGGAGCGGAGTCTGCGATCGCAGACGCACTAGCAAAAGACAAAGGAGAAACGCAGGAAAAGTTTCCAGAGGGCTCTGAACAGAAAATAGAGAGCCACTCATCACCACCTCAGATTCCCAAGAAAATCCCCAGGTAATCTGTTTATCTTTTTTAGTCGTTTATTCAGTTGTGAACTGTCCTATATAGACTGCTGAAAAGGGGAGAAATTAAGGAGTTTTGTTACATTAAGCGTCATTTTTTTCAAAGTATATTTATTTTAGGTAACTTAAAGCTATTCTTTAAATGTTTCTATTTTACTGGAGATCAGAAAAGATGAAAAAAAAATTACTAGAAGTAGTACCTGATATTTGGAGTTTGTATTGCAGGTTCATTAATATGTCACAATAGCCATGTTACATTTAATCTGATAGATTTTCCTGAATTTCTAGGTTAAGAAAGTGTTCTTATGTTATAGGAAACTAAAGAATTTCTCTGCAGAAATAAAGGCAACTATCGAAAAGTATAATAGAAATTAAAAGATCTGAGACTCATAAAAGGTGGTGCGCTAGCTTTACCTCACATACCCAGCAATACAAGAGATGCCAATTAACTCGATGCTACACTGCAACATCACTACAGCACTCCCAAAATAAACCATGTAAAAAAAGTAATAATCGAATTAGACTATGTATAAAATAATCTATCTCTGTTTTGCAAGACCTATAGCGATGAATATACTTTGTCCCCCGACAGTATTGGATTCAGTAGAGCTGGTCACTCCATTTCTGCCCGACAATTTTGTTCAGTGATTTAATTTTTAATTTTTTTTAAATCAGAATTTACTAAAATGATTCGTTGTTTCTGTGAAAATATTTGGCCAGTAGATACTTATTTTACTCCTATAAGTTCATGGTAGTTGAACGGTTTAGGTCTGTCTGTTGGTTCAAAGGTCTGTTTGTTCCGTTGTCAGGGGTACACCTGCTTTCTTGGTTGTTTCTCACAGAGGAGCCATGTTTATTTCCAGAGACACATTGTTTTCAACATGTGACTCGGTTCCTACAGCTCATGACAGAGCATAACCTAAGAGGGCTAGAGACTCTAGCATAGCGATGGGCACAGTATGCATTTCATATATGCAGGCATAGTATGTGTTTCACTGAGTGCAGACCAAAGCTGTGGATGTATTAGAATATGTCTTCCAATGTTATTATACAAAACAATTCCAAAATACCTTCAAACTTGCTTTATTTAATTCATTATAATGATAACCCAGTGGTAGGAAATGAAAAATTTTGTAACGGTTGAGCTATGTGTGAGCCTCAGAAAACGCATCATGGCAGTGCTGTTTTTCTTCTGTGTTGCCTATACAAGAAACTTGCATTGATTTTTAGTTAAAATGGTTTTAAAGTTGACTGAAACTAATAGAAATCTGTGTGAGCATACTTTTTTACCATCAACTGATTGCCGCTTGTCTTAAAGTAAAATACCTATGTCTTAAACTAACCAAGAGTGACCATTTGCACCAAGTGTAATTAAATCACTTTTATATCGCATCTTGGGAACACTGATACAGCACTCTCATGAAGAACAGGACTACTTTTCAAACTGTTCGCATTCTGTCAGGTGTGGACAGCTTTGGGGTTTGTAATGTACGGTGGTGATAGGGTTTATCATAGTATGATGTAAAGCTGGTTTCTGTAGATTTACTTTTGAAGTAATTGCCGCAAATACAAGACAGGATGGTCTGCAAAACCATACAGTATTGTCTGTTTCTGCAGACTTGGATGAAATGCAATCTCAGGATCAACAATTTTATTGGGGGGAAAAAAAAAAAGAAAAAAGAAAAGTACAAGAAAGTTAGCAAATAGGGTTTAAAAAGAAAAAATCCGAGTACTACTTGTGGGTGTGAGTCTCAGAAACATTAAGCACTTTCACAAACTATTAAAGTCAGTAGGAAATGTAAGCATTCAGCATCTCTGCCAGATGTACAGTACGGCAGTAATACAGGGTGTGGGCAATGACAAAGGGGGTGTCCCTGCATTTACAGTGCATATTAGTTTAAGGCTGAAGACAGCGGGGAATGCACTCAGGGCTAGAATAACCCTCGATAGGAGTTTAGTATCTCTAGAGTTACCTTAAATTAAATGGGGAAAAGTTGGCAGCTTTAGAGAGCAAGTTAAAAGGACTGGACAAGTTTGTGCTCTCAACCCCCTCTAAAGGAACCCATTTTTTCTATTATCTCCAGGGGAACCTAAAGAAAACGAGGTTGTACCAACTTTTATTTTTTTTTAGCAGCATTACCAAATCCATTGCCATCAGGAGATTCACTTGCTCCCACCTCCTTAGTGCCCTACTTTTTGTGCTGGCAAGACAGTTCATGGGGTCACCTGTGGTGAACCAGACCAGGGAAGCGATCCAAGTGAAAAAATAACTTTGCAGTTATTTTTCAGCCAGATCAATTCACTGATCTGAGAGGGGGACCAGTCAGGAAGGAGCAGCTGCTTATCCCAGTGGTAAAAGGGCAGTACCAGGCTAATGGCTGCGGTCATGGTTGGCACTTGTTCTGAGAGTGCCCTAGAGATGGTGCTCGTGCCGTGGTTTATATTTTTGCATTATTACTGGGATACCTTCTGCCCTTACTAGTGAAGGCAAGTGGTCATTCTGTCCTGTCTCATCAGTTATTCCAAAAAGTATGTTTACTCTGTATTTTTCTGCACATCATAAATTGGTTAAAACACCATCTCACAATTTTCCCTGGTGAAAATTGGAGTTTTCCAAATTAGAATTAGAATTTCTTCTTTCTAACAGTATTGTGCTATGGTTTCTACAAATTTCAAAGAAAATAAGCCGACATGCTGAGAAATACATTGTAGGAACGCTGGACAGTGGTTATCTTTATCCTTCAGTTATTATATTCAGTTGCCTTGATGCGATTTGATGCCTTAAGTTATTTGGGCTTTTCACTTCATTTTTAATATTGTTAAAGAGACCAAGTGAAACCTTATAGTGCCAAAAAATTAAGTGGGGTCTTTTTGTTGTTTAAGGATTTTGCCTTTTGTTTGTAATAATCCCAGTAGGTGAGAATCAGGATTGTCAAATTCCACTTTTGCACAAGCGGGAGACGTAGCAGATGAGATGCTCTACTTGGTTTGTGTAAACTCTTCAGGTGTTAGTAGGAGGTTAGTGTTAATTCAGGCTAAAATATGTGCATGGAAAAGATGTTTAAAATCTCTGTTAAGCTTGCAGAGGCTTAGAGGAAAACAGAAGACATGAAGATAGCAATCAATGAACGTGCCACTTTTCTAATTTAGAATGCCAACAACAGTAAGCTCACTGAAAAACCAAACTGATGACCTGGAAAATAAGATAAGCTTTAAAAATGTTGGATTACTGGAGGGTCTTGAAAGAAAATTAAATTAATATACAATATTTCCTTAATTTGCAATGGGTTACAGAGCTGCTGAAGATTGATAACGTAAAACAGAGCTGAAGGTATTTAAAGTAATCACTAGAAAGGTCAGTTTTTCCCTTTGAACAGCATTTGCAAAATACTCAGTTCTTTGGAAAGCTGAAAACTATCTCTGTTATACAAAAGAACTTGGTTTTGTTTTATCCATGTGATTGGTTTTTCTTTTGATGCCAGGATGCACATATGGTGGTTCAAAAGGAGCTAGCAAATACTAATGTATTAAATTTACCAAAAATTTCTAGATAGATTAATTTTTGCTGAAAATCAGCAGTCACATCAGCTTTATCAGTAATTGGAGTGAAGAGCAGGTGTTCTTAGAACTCCTGTAGTTCATGATGCAGCAGTTGTTCTCGGGCAAAACCCAAAACTGACCTCTAAAACAATAACATGATATTTCTGGCCTAAGTCACTGTAATTGATGAAAGTGGTACAGCACAGTGTGGAATCCACACAGAAGTTTAAAAAAAAGATTCTTTGAAGGCTCTGTTATCTGGTGGATCAGACTGCTGTTATTGGAGTTTGACAAGATAAAGGTTTCTCTTCTTCATTGAGAGATCACCACTTATACCCAGCAGCAGCTTTTTAGATTGACACATTTCCTAAAAGAAAACTGCAGCACAGCCTTCTGATTCTTCTTTCCTGTCTTCATAAACCACACCAGAGCTGAACTAAAACCTCATTCAGCACTGTTTTAGATGGCAGTGCCTTTGTAAATCAAGGGACAACCGATCTGTGCGCAGCCGTCTCCATCTCAGTTACGTATTGAACTGAATAGTTTCTTTTCATAGCTACAAGTCAGCCATAACTTTGCTTTATAGGATCTTTGGGCCAGACTTGGATGAACTAAAGATAAAACTGTATGTTTACTGAAATAATTCCTTCAAATAGTGAGGTCTGTATATTCATTCGATTCTGGTTTAGATAAGGAAAGATTTGAGCTTGTAATCAATCGATATGAGTTCTGTTGTTCATAGCTACAACAATCCTGTTGTTCTATCTTGCTTCCAAAAGGAGTGAAGTGCTTATACATATTTTAAAGATTTGTTTTGAACGTTTTTTTTAAAAAGCTTGCTTCTCCATTGCATTTACACACTACATCAGCAATTTGCGTTCTTTTAAGGCCTTTTTTTGTTAAAATAGCCCCTGAGCATTTCACTGGACACTTTCAGGGGCTCTATACTTATCAGAGGACATAGATATCAAAGCTTTTGGAAGTGTCTTTTTATCCTTCAAATCTTACCCCAGTGCCACACTTACACTACAAATAGTACACCTTGAGTATCTTCCAGCCAGATTGCTGCTCCTGACATAAACATAAATGTCAGTGATGGATGAGAATCTTTTAGAAAATTGGCGAAAAACTTACACAGTTCCTGCCTGCCATGGAAGCATTTCAGTAGTAAAAGGGATACTCAAATGCTTTTTGTTGTGCTGATTGCCTTGGGGTCGCTGATGAGTGTTCACACCGTTTTTAAATTACAGTAAGCCAAATGTGATTTCAAGAGGCCGAGTTAGGCATCAGATTTCCATATACAGGCAGTGGAGAAAGACAATTCCAGTGAGGTGATTTAGAGTGTGAAAACTTGAAAGGCCCTAAATGGGTTCTCTCTTCAGTGGGTTTTTTATTAATTTCTGTTATTTAAGAAAAAAAATGTAGGTGACTGGGGTTAGGGCTGTGCCACAG